AATCCTCAAAAGCTTCATAAGTTGAATAAATATATAACTTTTCCATCGCAGGCTCCATCGCGACGCCAATATAATATTTGAAAGTATTTGAATTACAGTATTTGGATCACAGAATTAACGCAACTGAATAAAGAATTACGACACGAGCACGAACGGATGTATTGTATTTAACAAGTACAAAGAAATCCTCAGTTAATTCAAACACCACAAGAAATTATTGTATTATAATCATTTAATTTGATAACATATGTAGATTAATGTTAACAATCCATATATTTCTTTTATCATGCTTTATAGGATCTTTCACAAATAAGACAATGGGATTAAAGCTCGTTAAAACAAATGGATAATGTAGATGGTGGAAATGAAACTTTTTGGCGTCTACTGACATCGAATAACTTGAAGGTGTATATGGTAATGATATTTGGGTATCAGTGTTACAATATCCCTCCTGATCTCTTTCTAGTGGTTTGAATTGTTGGAACCAATCAACTTATTAATGAACTCATTGTTCAGGAAGAGCCTACAACGGTGTAGTAATTGAGTTGATTTTCGTCAAAGATTACACTTTATTCATAACATATTAAGTTAATATATCAATTTGTATTCAATGAATTCACTACTACTACACATTCAGAATGAACATATTTGCAAACCGACAGTTAATGAAGTTCAGTGGATACAATCTTGAATAAAATGTCAACATATTTCTATGTTGACCAATTGTTCTCTCTATAAGACGTTTTATTCATCCTTCTATTAATCACTTGTCTTTCATCCAAATGAAGCCTGTTAGTCAAAAATGAAATGAAGGAACAATTCCTCTTACGTTGTTAATAACACAATAATTTTCAGAATACCATTGAACCATTCAGTGTAATGCACGACCAGTTACCATTGTAAAAGATTATTTTTCCCCCTATTTTCCTACACTTTTTTGATCAATCAACCCTACTTTTGTGAAGTAACCACATATATGTAGTTAAACAATCCAAGTAATATAAATGTATAAACATATATTTATTGTTTGTTAGCTTGACAAATAAATTTATTTGATCTGTGTTCTTGGATTATATACTACATAAAGGAAATATTACTATTCAATAAATTTCAATAGTTGAGATCATGAGTCAATCGAAGCTAGACCATCATGGAAGACCTGGAAGCACTGGATGGCCGTTTCATCCTAGCATCGGACTCCTCAGCAGTACGCATCCACGATCTCGCCTCACGAGATTCGAATCCAGGAGCTCTCAGTCTCGCGCGAACGCTTAGCCTCTAAATCACTGATTTGGCGGTGTTAATGTCTAACTTCAACTAATCCACGAAATTGAGCAACACACCCACCATTGTCTTCAGTGAGTTATTATCTCACTACAAATCTGGTTGAACTCCACTGATCGCTGGTCAATAAATGTTACTTATCATCAACATGTTCATTATTGTTTTGATATGTTTTTTTGAAAATGTATACTTAAACACCAAATTGTTTGTCGTTGATTTCTGTCAATTTTCATGAATGAATATGCTAAGAAAAACAACAGCTGTTATTTCTTGAACACTGATATTGTGTAGTATAGTGTTTTTCATTGTTATTATTATAAATTCTTGTTGGACAGTATTTCGTTATCTGAAGCAATCATAATTTTCATGGCAATAAGTATGAAAACAAATCAAGTACAACTAATACTATTCAACTACAAAATAATTCACCATTTTGTATTATCATTTCAGTCATCGTATGAATGAATAGCTAGTTATTAATGTATACAAAAAATATCGTTGGTTACATTTTCTGTTTATGGAAAAAACCCAGTAAAATCAAGTTTTTATATTATCAAAACCAAGGGGGTTAATTTATTAAATGTGTATTATATTGTATTGATCACAAAGTAATTTATGATGCAAAAATCGGATAATTTCAGTAAAGACGCTAATGAGACTAGATTTTGTCAACCATTCTGAATATCACTTTTGTTTTAGCTTTAACTTATGGAAGCTATAGTTAGGATAGATTATTGATTGAACGATATGAACTATCTGGAAGTTTCCGAACAGCTAAAACAACTTACATGCAACATTCTCTATTCAATATTTTGTCCCTATTTTTGATGCAAATAATTCCCACACTAATTCATCTTACAAAAATAATCATATTAAGAAAAGTATTCATCATTCCAACAAGTTTGTTAGATGTTAACCGTATCCGAGTACATTTTAATCTTTGAATAAAGAAAGAATAAGACTAGTAGTAGAACAATATGAATTCATTGATATCCCTACTATCTAGAAACGATTAATTATGTACAAAACAAAATTTGTACCTACTTTATATGAGAAAGAGGTTTAGATTAAAATTTAGTTAGATATGGAAACGTCAATTAATAAAAGACAATAATTGTAGACGTATAAAGACGCTTGTTCAAAAGTTCGTACATTAACAGGTTGAATATATAAATGTTATAGAAGAAAAAGTTCAGAAGAGCATAGAAACAGAAGTTCTATAAATGAAATGAGAAATTAATACCATAGTTTACGTGAAACTTGAAAATAAAATAGAATTGCTCAATTGAATACAGCTCGGATGAGAAATAGAAAATTATAATTCATATCATGGAAAAAATGTTACATAACAGATATTGGTATCTGTGGTCAGGATCCCAAAGAAAGATTTATAACTACACTTTTGGATCTTTCCACTGTGACCGATTCAACAAAACATAGTAAAGTGAATGTCTTTATATGTGAAAATTATATTTGAAATATTCTCAGCGATTGAAATTTAACTAATTCCAACGTTTCGTCCAGCTAACTTGTCTGGACTTTTATCCAAAATCTCTGATGGTCAAATCTCCAGACAATTCTATTCGGTATGAATGTCTTTATGTTCATTATTAAATTAACAAGAAAATCGCACTACAAACACTAGTCATTCAATTTATTCATTCATTCAATGTATATGCTTTGCTATGTACATATAAATTGGTCAGCATATTAAGTGTGATATCTGGAACTTGAATTTTTGCTATATCGCGTACAACTTGAGCACTCGAACGTTTGAACCGTCCAAGTTGCAGGTTAGTAGTCAGAAGACGAGAGGTAAGGAATCTTATTTTTAACTCTGTCAGATATAGTACGAAAACACTCGGGTATTTATAATTTTTAGTAAAAATGAAATCGTCATTACAACAACAGTAGTTCCTAGCATTTGTTCAATCAGGAAGCTACAATTCGAGATTTCAGAGTGTTCTTCCGAACGATGATTGGATAGAATGTCTTCTGCTCTTTCAGAGCTTCCTTGAGTTCGTCGGGAGCCTTCTCCACAGAATGAAGTAATATAATATGGGAATTCGTTTACTTTTGACTATTGCAATCAGTAATTCATTTAGTAAAAAGAGATCCACTTGGCTGATGAATATAGTCTTTCTAAGCTGAGCTTTAATATGAAATCATTTTATCACTTTTGCAGCCAAGGCTTAGAGAGACAGGCTTTTCAGAAAACTAGATTTCCTTTATTTTAATCTTCCCATACTTAGTTTTAAATGTTTAAGGGTAACCATTATCACAAAAACCATGTTCAACTACGGCTAATTCTCTCTCAATCCTATTATCTGAACACAAAGTTTCTACCTGGTTGAAGTACTTTCTGATCAAAGCTCGCCGTAGCGCTCTGGAAAAAAACTGTTGAAATCTAATCGCATTCCGTCCTGCTTCGTTTCGATAAATATATCCTTGAAACTGCGCCTTTGTATTATGCCCAGTATCAAAGTCTGTAATGCAAAACATGCCATTAGGTGACATAATTAGGTGTGTTGTATTGATAAGCTCCAACTTACGGGAAGCGTGTTGATAATCATTACTGGCAACAAATGTAACGTTAAAATAGTTGTTCTTCAACGAAAGATTTTGATAAACTCTTCTCAGAGTTACTACATACTTGTGACTGAGCCTCTTACAGTAAAATAACTAAATTCTACGTGAAATGTTATATATTCACCAACTTTATTGATAAGGCCTTTTTGACTTCAATTTGCGATTTCACTATAAGTTAAGGGTTTGTATATACAAGAGGTTATTTGCAAAAGCTGACAGTTTTCGAAAACTGTCTGGAATAGTAACGTATGTTTAGTCAATGTTTGAAGAAACGTAACTTTTCATGTCAATAATTATAATGCTTTACTGTTTCTATAAACTGTACTTAAGTATTCAAGTTTATTTTTAAAACTTCTGTTTTTATACACTTGTCAGTTCTTTCTCTAGAATATTTATACTGTCATAAACTCTTACTATCCGAGCAATTATGTCAAAAGATGCAGAAGAATGAGTTTTAGTTACATTGATAACTAAATCCAACTGAATAACTTAGACTCACTAACAGATGGGTTATTGAGTGGTTCTTTATTAATAATTGAATGAAAGGCAAATATATCGAAAATATATTTTTTATATTGATCAGTTAAGTGGAAATATTATACCGAAATAGAAACTGACAAATAAATCCAAATAAATTTCATTGTATTCAAGCAACGATAATTAGTGTTTCAGATCAGCTGACGAGTACTTTATAAAAATATTATCCCATAATAGATATACTAAAGTGACTTATCATGTACTACAGTGGAGACCGTATAACTCTTATTATAAACGGTTTATAACGACATACCAACCATCATCTCTTAACATATATTCAATTAGGATGGTGGTTGGAGATAGTCAACAGAAAACTCTGGACCTAGGTTTCGTGTTACTTGGCACTGGTCAGCAAGGTGTACTTGTAATCTTGTGGGAACTGATGACCTCTGGCGGATTCGATCCCGTGTCACTCAACTTCACAGTCAGATACATTACCATTGAGCTATCCGGGCCGTGTGTGTGTTGAACAATGTTATGTATGTCAGCTCCTTCTTAGTGCAGATCGAATCTTATCATATATTCAATTACAAATTAGTTTTCTTGAAATTTACCTCAGCTAACTGTTATTCTCTAGAACAAGTAGATTTACGTTCAAAATAGAAATTTATTACAAATATTACGATAAATGTAGTACATAGTGAACTATTTCAAAAAGCAATGAATTAGTGGTGTGAATGTATATGCAAGAAGTTAGGGTGTTTAATAATGAATACATTTCAATTAAAATGACCAAAATATATATAAATTAGAAGCAATTACATAAATCAGTGAAGATTATGGAATTAGTCATTCAGAGAATGTATTTACTGATTCCCATGCAAACAAACAGAACAACAATAACATGACGATGAATAGATAATTTTGTCATTCCATTACATTTATCTGTTGAGCAACAACCGACTGTATACTCATGTTCCAATTTATCACATGTAGGTCCACAAAATTTACTAGTAACCCCAGAACCATGAGTTGTCTGAAGATATAAATGAAAGCCAAATATTCAGCCAAAAGAAATCATTAATTTGCAGATACGTTTAATTTAAGTGGGTGAAACACCAAACACGTCACTTGAAGAATATAACTAAAAAATGGTTTTTAACCAAGATGAATGGTGGCTAGTAGTGGAATCCAAAATATGCGTTTCTCTCTATTTAGGACTTTTCACATGGATATTTACCTCCGGACTCGAACCTAGTATAGTTCATTCCTAACGTCGCCGAGTTATACACTTTGCTACTGAGTCCAGATGGCTATTGTCTTGTGCAATGGGGTGAAATTTATTTTGTCAATACAAGTGAAGTAATTCATTTGTACTAATTTATTCGATGAGCATAAGTCAGCGACAGATTTATATTAGGACATCGTAAAACATTCTAAATCAGTGTACAGTTTAGCAGTTGTAAAATTTCTTTTATTTTGTTGATCTTAATTTGAGTTTGCCTAACTTTATTGACTATATAGGTGATCTCATATAAGTCAATATAATGATTTATCAACTATCGGTTAGGTTAAATGTGATGAACATGGTCGACACACAACGTAATTTAACTCATGATCATTTCTGATTACAAAAATCTAATCACGAATATTTCATAGGAAGTGAGGATTTGTGATGTTAAACACAAGTTATTGACTAGCTGTATTAAAGATGTCATTTATACTGTTTGAAATGCTTACTTTTCGTCAACCAGTAAAACACGCAATCTAGCACTACAATCTTCCTATTACATCATCATTTTTATTTCTTGTTCATATGTCCTCACGGAACTAATACTCTAACAAAACAATTTTCATATATATATATATAATTGTACAGCTTGATAATAAATCCAAATTGACACTTTATTTGTGCTTTGAATACAGTTAACCAAAATTTATAATGCTGCTTGATACTGATCAAATTATTGTGTCTTATTCAAAATACTAGGAAAATTCGTTTAGTTTATTATGTACCACATAAATGGAAATATACTAAATTTCACACAGATTTCACTGTGAAATAATTATTACATCACAAAATCTTTGATATATAATACATTGTCTCTTTTTTATAATGTCACTGATTAAGTAAATGTAACTACTTCCTTACTAACCCTTAGAACAGTTGATATAGTAGTATTTAGTATACGATAATCAAAAACTTAAATTTTTGTCTTAGTTGTAATTTTAGTCATATACAAAATTACTATTCAGTTTGTTTGGTTAAATGCTTTTCAAAAAAAAAAGATTATTTTGAGAGTAGATACAGTCAAACTATATTTCAAAACTATTTCAATATTGTTCTCAATTCTGATTGACTACATTTATAGAATTCCATTTGAGACGAATTACTAGATACATTCTAATATTTAACTGTTGAATTTAAACTTAGTGAATGCAATGTCTTTTAATAACTTAAAGTGAAAATTATTCATCAAATTTTACTTTTACTCAAGTCATTGTGAAATATATTACGATGGTTATTTGAACTTACTACACATCCACCACAACCGCTAATAACCTTTTCGTTATTTTTTGTACAGTTCAAACAAGTGTAGCAACTGATTGGTTTTGCTGTGAATTGAATTAAAGAAATCAACATGATATAATGACAATATAATAAAAATAAGTTAAAACTGTCAATATACATGTCATCGGATAACTTATATAAATATTGTCAGATATTTATATTCAACTTGAAATGACTGTATGAAATGCAAAGAAAATTACTAGAATTTGTCCTGTAGAACGGTTTTCATTTACCTCTTGTATGGAATGAAGTCATGAGATTAGACGTAAAGGTCTAGACTTGACATAATCAAAATACTATGTTAAAATAATACACATTTGCTATACAAGATCCATGTTAATAAAGACAAGATTCAAATAACCCTAGTTGATTATAAACAGAGTGAATATTCACAATTTAGTTTACATATATATTTTGATGTTACTGTTAAATGATCTCAATGATGTTCATTCATGATGGTTTACAGGTATCACATCAAAATGTATCAAATATGAAATACTAATATTGCATCATTTATTTTTCAGTGTATTCATTTTGCCACAAGTTAAGTGTTTTTAATCGATTGTAAAATCACATACAGTTTAATTTTGTAATAATCATGATAACTTAAACAAAACAAATTACTTACCTATAGGCCCTAGTGGACGTTCTAAAACCAATTTTAGGATAAAAAAATGTTAAAGCAATAACATTTTAATGAAATAATAAACTAAAAAAAATTGTACTTCACAACTTCTTAACTGAAGACAGAACTACGTGAGATTGATATTTAACGTCATTAATTTTAATAATTTCAATCTACTAACCATAACCGAATATTTTTCGATAAAAGTTTAGATAATAAATATTTTATAAGTTCATATGTTTGTAGATCAATTAACACACAGACGTTACGATTATCCCAGAGAAAGTTAAATACGAGGTCTATTTAGATCACAATAATTTTGATATGTGTAAAGAAATAGAAATCAAATAATTTTTTCTGCTTAAAAATCTATAACTTGATTAGGAATGCATTAAAAATAATCCTTTCCAAGTACATGATGGTTAAACAAAATCATATACTATATAATCTAAGTATAAATGAAATATATCAGATAATTTCAACATATCTGAATCTGTGAATACAACAAATATTTAGTATGATATTACTTGAATAGAGGGTACAATGAAAAAGATGAATAATAACTGGAAAGTATTGCCCAGGACAGGGTTGAATGGAGAATGCTGGTGAGCGGCCTATGCTACTTCACGAAGTGTAACAGGCGTAAGTAAATAAGTGGATACAATACCTGAGTTTTAACTTTTTCCAAATCAATTTAATGAATCAGTAATTATGGTATTTTTCATATGACCTCGAAATATGCGATTAACCATATTATCAATTTCATTTTCAATCATACAGTAGTGGAAATATTTTTTACAAGATCTTACTTTCGTATTTTTTTAAAAATTTTAAGGTAAATGTGCAGAGATTCTTTAGATATTATTATGGGCTAAGCTTTTGCAAGTTTTGTTTAATAACGATCATAAAAATCGATACACGAATATGTGAACATAATGTTTTGATATTCAAACAAATATTGAGCAACTTTCAAAGATTTGAGAAGGGGATTTGTAATATAACTCTAATGCATCAATGATTATTCTATCTGCCAGTTAGCATTTCTTAGATATTCCGTCAACGTTATAAAAACGACGTTTGAGCCTCTGAAAAGTTTAAATGCTATGCATACATCACCTATCAAATTACGATGGGAATTTGAGATTTTACGTTTTGAGAGGTAGATTGAGAAATCCCATGATAAGATTTAAATACACTTTATCATTGAAATATTTAATGTCGTTGGAATTATGAGTCGATTTAAGTTAGATCCTCATTGAGAAACTGGAAGCACTGAACGTTTATTTCATCCTAGCTTGGAACTATTCAACAGTGCGCATCTACGACCACGCATATGGGAATTAAAAGTAGCAACTTCAGACTCATGCTCGAACTCTTAACCCCTAGATCACTGGGTCGTAATCCAATGGTTGGGAGTTCGCACGCGAAGCCAGAAGTGATTGTTTCGACTCCCATTTGGGGGCTCGTGGATGCCCACTGTTGTATCCCATACTAAAATGAATCGTTCATTCAGTAGTTCTAGGATTTCACTGGTGGCCTAACTTATAATAGTTGATGATTTCAATGAATTTCAACAATCTCTGCAACCCGTTACTGACACTTAGCACCATATCTATTGACTTTTTTTGATAATCTCTAAAATTTACACTTGTCACATACTGTCATATATTTGAAATGCTTAAAATTTACATCTGACTGATCTTTAAACTTATGTGTAGTCACATCTGTCTATAATGCACTCAGCAGCCAATTTTTTTGGTGTGTACGGTTGTGCTGTAATTCATGAGAGAAGTATTAAACGAAAGCTATTTCAAGTGTTAATAAATGGGAGCTAAATAACTTTAGGCACAATACAGATCTTGTATTTATGGATAAACTCATAAACGTCCTGTTTGTAATTTTACATTTTATTGTTTGTAACAACCAACAATTTCTGTTATAGTAAATGATGTACGAAACAACCAACAATTGAGGAAGTATGTAGTTTTAAAATGAATTATACAGTAGTATTTATAATTTGTCTATTTTATTCCGGATTCTAATATCCTCATTTAGTCGATAAGATTCGAATAATCTCCAGCGATTCAATCTGTCAATTACGAATAAATCAAATAAACATTCTATAGCTGTCTTTGGATAATAAAAGCAGTTATTAATCTAAATTGTGACAACCGATAAACTTCCTCTTTTTATTGCACTATTTAGATTAGCGTGAATTAATATACAGTTTAAAACTGTATCTGTTTAAGCTTTTCTATCTGTTTATATTTTGTATAATAAGTTAGTTTATATATTTTCTTGTTTAAAAATAGTTTGTGCATTTTTAATAATGAATATAACGAAATTATCCTTTTATCACTTACGTGCAGTGTTATCAACTGTTTTCCCATTACACAAGTCAGTAGGACAATTCTCTCGATTTTCGTTTGGGAAGTTAATGGGTATCGTATCATTAAACAAACATATTCTGTGAATTCCAAAATTACTACCACCCATCTGAAAATTAATAAGAAAAAGAACATAAATTAAGATGGATCAAAATAACTTACCGACAAAATTGAAGAAATAACGTACGATACAATTATTAAATAAATGTATTTCTTATGTTTGTTAGAAACAGCAACTCATCTAATTATCGTTTCGACTGTAAGAAGAGCAATAACTACGATAAAAATACATTATATTAAGTCTACACAAAAAATAACTACAAATTGTCATTTCATTCGACATGTAAATAGTAGTCGATCAAAAATTCATGTAACTTATTAGACCTAGAAATAGGTGTTTATTAAATGGCCTAACTTACCACGCAAGATGTACAATTGTTTGTTATTGATTCACTCGTTACTATCGGACAATAGTCACATACGTAACAACGTACTGCTTGATATTGATCTATGTTAAATATAAACAACCATTGGAAATTCAATAATTTAGAGTAAATTAATGAAATCTTTTTTAAAAAATTCATAATGTGTTTCATTCATTTTTAATAACTTTATATTGAAACAATAAAAAGGTTACCATCAAACTTTTTTAAGCAAGATATTTCATAAGTTGAAACAATCATCTCTTTTAATACATTGTAATAATTTCCATGGGAATTCATATTTTATTGTTGACATCATTTTTCTTTATTTCCTTTTTGTGATCGGTAAGATTTCTGTCGTTTTGTTTTGTTTTTCGATATGAAACAAAATCAAACTGTCTAATGATTAAGAATAAAACTTTCAGTGTTCTAGACTAAATGATTAAACATTTACAGATCACATCTACAAATGTTTCTTGTTCATCATTCGTTTTTCTTTGAATTAATTAATATTTATTAATCATAATACATTAAATTTCCATAGAACTCAATCAATCCAAGTTTCACAAGACTGTTCAATAGTAAATAATTAAAATTTTACTATATGTGTTAGCCTGTTCATTAAAAAAAAATTTAAAGAGATAATATTCGTCATTTTGTAGACTATAGGTTATTTGATTATTACATACATGTCCCCTTTGTCCGGTTAAAACTCTGATAATAATAATAATAAGGCAGAAGTATACATTCGACAGCATACTGATTTGTTCAAGTTTTGTACAAACTAATTTACAAATGAAAAAGCCGTCCAATTTCGTTCTTTCAAACACAAATCATGCAAAATGAATCGGTGTTCAGTGACTTCAAAGACCGATACAAATAATTAGAAATAAACAATTAGTTTATAAATGTCACATTTTATTCAAACCTGGTATTTAAGTGTTATATTTTACGAATATAATGACCACAGCTTTAGTTTATCATTGAAAAGTGTATACAAAAACCATGCTAGATTTTTTACGGGCAGTAACTCAAACACTCCTGGCCGAATCAGAGCTTACCACTAACCATCACTTGGATTGATAACCTTGATTAGTATCGAAAGTGGCCACTATTCCCATTATCACTGAATTTATTTAGTGATCAGCACAATGTAATAACACTTTTGTCATCTAACATTTCACAGACTGATTTTTTATTACGAGAATGAATTATCGACTTAGAGTATACAAATGACGAAAATCCATTTTGATGAAAACGTAAACAATATTCATTCTCCAGAATGCACTCAGTATTAATGTAAACTATTTGAAGTAAATCTTTCTACCTTTAAATGTGAAATGTTACCTCGGGACTGGGCTACATTATTACCGAGATAGATCATATGAAATGAATTAGTTGAGGTCAGGTACTTCATTTATCTCGGAAATCTCGTCAACCCTAATAGGTCGGAGGCTGACGATATTCATAGGTGGATTCAGAAAGCTTCCTTAGCTTTTTCCAAAAGATTTCCCCCTTTCAACAAAAGTCTATGCTCATATGTGCGCCTCAAGTTTATATATATATATATAGGTGTCTGCGAAGCACCGGTCACTAATGGTAAACAATGGATTAAGCAGTACTGAAGTAGAGTCCTAGATAAAGCTGGCAAATCAGTTTTAAATGGCTGCAAAACTTCATCGCCTGAGGTGATAAGGAGATTTATCAGGGACTTCAAACTGTCACCTACTGCGACATGGAAAGCGGGCTAATGTAAGACCAGGTTAGTGGAAAATAAGAGACTGGCAAATCAAGTGATATCAATATTCGAATTCATTCGGCATTGATCTGAGTCATGTTGATGGGTGAAGTTCAAGTGTCTGAGGTTGGCTTCTATCAACGATTTAAGATCATTAGTGACATGTCTCGAAATCAGCGGTGTTAGAGCAAATAAATCCGTTATTTATCTTTCTCTATATTTTGAGCTTCAGGATTACTTCATATTATTTACTCCATATTTCCCGTTCATCTTTCAAAACACTATTTTCTACTTATACTGAAAATCATATTGTTTTAAACCAAATGATCTTCACCACGTTCTTTCTAAGTCACTGTGTTAGCATTTCATGGTAATGTGGAGCCATGTACATTTCTGCTCAATTATAAGTTGATCATGATTGACTGTTTATTGTTACTCTTTCTAGGTGATAGATACAAATTTCAAATGTCAAACAGTACATATATTTGGGTGATTTTTCCTTCCAAAGCGACATAAATTCTAGTCTTTACTTATCAAACAAACAACCTATTAAATATAGATAGGAAAAAGGTATCTATTCTACCGGCTCGAAATAAAATACTAACTGAAAAGAGTTTGATTGCACCTTCTTCAATTGGAATCCATATGATTGGAATGTAACACAAAGCTTAACATAGAACATTCTCATCCCAAAATCAAACTGAATTACTTACGTTTATTCAGAATATTCACCATAATGTACAAAAAGATTGCAAAATATTCCAAGCCACTTTTCATTCTCTAACCACTTTAAAATACTTGGAGATGTATGCGAATAAAGTTCCGAGAAATAAGTTTAGCTACACAAGCATGGAAATAAATTTATCCGTGTGAAAAACGTCAATGGTCCTATGATAGACATTCGTGTCTGGACCACAATTACTGACCAATCAAAAGCCAGTAAATTGCTATTCAATCGGTGTGTCCGTTAATCACAAACTTGTCTGTCTCAACTTTATTGAACCATTGATAAAAACGAACCATATAATGAATAAAATGTTAATTTTAAGCTGATTCGTTTGTCCTTTTTCTGGGTAGTTTGAATGTAGTGAAATGACAACTTTCCTTACGTTCATAATTTATACCTATTATGGAGATTGGTAAAACATGGATTACAAGACCTGGAAGACAAAGGTGATTAGAAATATGTGATGTATTTGCTCAACACAGTTTAAGAATGGGATGAATGAATCACAGAACGAACAATTGAACATTGACAATTTAGATGATTCCCGATTTATATCGCATTAGAATTGTTTACAGTAATTATAGTTTTGAATAAAAGAGTTTAACACCATTTAAATAGATGAATATTTTACTTAGTCCAAGTAAAAAACTGTGAGGTCCGCCGACGTCACTGAGATAAAAGTTTTGTTTCATTAGAGCATCAAAGTTGTTATGTCTCATCAACATTTACTATTGATAGCTCAATTCTTTAGAGGTAGTTAATAATCGAATGGAATGATTATTCAGACTGAATATTTCATAGTATCCTAAACAATTTGATTTTATCAAGACTAAATTATATTCCGTATTATTTTTAATCCTTTTACACATGTAAAATGGAAATGTATGAAAATCAACAGTTAATGGAGTACAGTGGATACAATCTTGAATAAAATGTCAACATATTTTTATGTTGATCAATTGTTCTCTCTATAAAAAGTTTTATTCATCCTTCTATTAATCACTTTTTTTATCAAAATGAAGCCTGTTAGTCAAAATTGAAATGAATGAACAATTTCTCCTGAGTTGTTAATAACAAAATAATTTTCAGAATACCATTGAACCATTCAGTGTAATGCATGAACAGTTACTATTGTAATAGATTATATTTTTCCAACTATTTCCCTACAACTTTGTTGATCAATCAACCCTACTTTTGTGAAGTAACCATACATCTGTAGTTAAACTATGCAAGTAATTTAAATGCCCTATTCAGAGAATCTTATATTTATCCTCTGTTAGTTTGATAGATCGATTTATCTAATTAATTTTCTTTTATATATATTCACTACTAAGAAGAAAGAATTCCACTCAAAGGGCCTTTCTTATTATTTTATTACTACGCAAATACACAGCAAAACAAAACATCATCTTGTGTCATCATTTCTATCACTATATCAATGAATTATTAACAATGTATGTAGTAGAACATCTTATGTAAAACCAATGAAATTAAAGATTACTATAATTTCTTGTTCTGAGATATACATTTACTGAAAGGCCATATTTATTATTTTATGTAATTATTTGTTTCACTGGTTGAAATCATGAGTCAATTGAAGCTAGACCACCATGGAAAACCTGAAAGCACTGGATGGCCGTTTTGCCCTAGTATAGGACTCCTCAGGCCGGAACGGCCATCCAGTGCTTCCAGGTTTTCCATGGTGGTCTAGCTTCAATTGACTCATGATTTCAACCAGTGAAATTTCTAAAATCTCCACAAAACCCCTTTTGATAATTATTTGTTTATCACATGGTTTAACTGAAGCACCATCTTTTTTCACTTTGCTATGCAAATGTGATGTTTGTCTGTTTCAGGTTAATAATCAGAACGCTTTGTATTAGGCTGATATATATGTATATGACTACTACTACTACTACGATATAAAACACTCAAGTCTAATGGTTTGTTTGAGATATTCTGTGTGTTTTTTTGGTCCATTTTTGATTGAATCTATTGATTTAGGGTTATATACGTATGAATATATAAATTTTGTTTCAATAAACTTCTTTATAATGTATAATGTATAATGAAGTTGATTCTGAGCACAGTGAAACTGGTTATTAAGGATAAGCGAATGAAAAGTATAATTGAAAAAAAAACTTTCCTTAATTCCCTATTTATTTGATCTGAACGCATCTAATATTATCGAACATAAATGAATCAATTTGTTGCACATGGAGTGTGCATTTTCTGGTTGAAAAGTTTTATCTATCTGTTTTAACTATTTTCAGATATGCTATCTATCTAGATATTGAAAACTGAATGATAGTGAAAAGAAGTAAGACAGAGTTTTCACATATTTATTCTGAGTGATTTTTAACTCGTTGTTAGTAATAGAATTAGTAATTTCAATTGTTTGACGCACATTGTTGACTAGATTTCAACTACCATAAAATCGCATAACAGTACTCTATGCTTTATTATATTCAATCTCTTTCTAGTGTGAAAATTAACTTGATGTTGATGGGTTTGTAAAATATGATACAAAGATAAAACTGGCACAAATGCTGAACTAATGCTCCTATTATGTGAAACGGAAACTTCATTGAGATTTATTCTTAATAAAATGAATCGAATATCTTTCTAGTTAATGTCTCTATATTAATTTGTAAGCTTTTACTTAGTTTCACCTATTCTCAGTAGTTGTTCTTTTTCTCCAATATAGAAGCCACTAATCTATTGCAAAGATTAGTTCAATCAATATGTTTCTCAGAAAAATGAAAATATTTCCGAAACAAAATTAATCTCTTTGTTTAATAGACATTAGGAAATGTATCATTTCGTTATGTCAAATTTCAGATTTTGACTGGAAGCAACGTAATATTGATAAAATTATTCTCAGAGCATGTATGCTATCTGTTTTGTCCATGAATAATGATTGTAAACAAACCACGCGATTGTGAGTAACTATCATTCACCAACATAATGAAGAAAATGTTATGTAACGACCAATACCTATTTAGCAAAAAAAAAGTCGTTTGTTAGAACAAGAAAACTGATTTGATTTTTTATAACACAAGTATTCATTCATACAACATGACATGAGTGGAAAATTTAAATTTTTGGCTAATAACACAATATATTCACATTGACAAAGAGATAAATCAATAATACGAGTCTAGATGTCAGCCGACAAAGCCCGAAAGTAAAATATACAAGATAATCGACTACAAACGAGGTCATTAAAAAGAAATGATATAAATATTTTGGAATAAATAGAATTCTTTGTTCTGAATGAATTAGGCACTGACGTTATCAAAAGTGACAGGAAAAGCTACGTGCATAAACCATCTAAGTAAGAGTACACAACATCCTCATAATTGTCCACCTGATCTACAAACGTTCTCCACTATTTCAAGACCAAATAAGTATATGTACACTTTTTGATAATATTTGGAAAACTAATATGGATCAGAAGATGAACATTGATGAGTTAACTATCCATCCCATCTTTAAATATACTCATATACTAAAAAAGAACAAAAATTCCAGCTAGAATCTGGTTTTAGTTAATGTTGATATTTCACATTAAAATATCATTAGTGTCCGTGAACTTATCAAATCAGTATATGATTTTGGAAAATGTTGGGTAAATTTCACTTTGAATTTATATAAATATAACAAAATGAATCAAGCTGCGACATTTAAGAACATTTAAGAAAGTATATCACCAGTAAAAAGTTTTGAAATATTACTCAGAATATGCTTAATACTCCCTAATCAACTTGCTTCACCATAAACAGGGAAAATCAGATGCAGACGTTAAGGCAGCAATTGGAAAAGCAAGGACCCAAGACGAAGTTGGATGGAGAATGTTCGTGATTAGACTATGCTCCTACATGAGGGGTGACAGGCTTAAGTAAGTAAGTAATCAAATTGCTTGATGCTGGAGTAACTTTGCTAGAAATGAAAAAAATCGTTGATAACTGAATGAAGTATTTTGGAAATTGGGGATTTGCTTTGGATAATTCAGATAATGGAAATTATATGGTTATTAATGATAATAATATCTACCAGATGAGTCATTTGATAAGCCTACAAATAATGTTTTGTAGAAAAGGTCAAAATATACCTATCAATAAATGTAGGCATATAAGAGAACAATTCAAAACTATTGGCATCTAAAAATGTCTATACATAGAGATGTTGAATACCATCGAACATTTCAACAGATGATAAATTGAATTAAATCACTATTTCATAAACGCTTGCAATCAGTTATCAGAACAATATATTGTGCCTAATTAAAAGATCAAATGAAATGCAGATAAGTATATTAACTCTGTTTACTTACATTAATGGTCGTCTATTACTTTATTATTACACAAATCTGAAGTGCATACAAGGTCCGATTATTCATTCGAACGTTTTAACTGTTTTCTAAACATATTCGGTGTACAGAATAATCTGCACCACCAACCTATAATCTAATTAAAATAACATAACAATATCCACCAAGCAATTTTATAAAATGAATATGTTGAGAAACGATTAAGTAAGCAATTTTGTATCTAATCCATTATCAATCTTGCTTCCCATGGTGACGTGACTCAATAATGTTTGTTACGTAATTCTTCGAGATGATGCAGAAGATTTTTAGCTCAGGTGGATTATTTTGATGGAGTTTTGTTCTCTGAGCTGAACAGTTTGGTTGTGGAGCTTTTATCGTTCTTCTGAACAACGTCATCAGCACAAACTTCAGGAAGAATTGAAGTGTTCACTTCTACCATCCAACTTAGAGAACAAAACACGATTCTTCGCATGACACTTATTGTTAGTCTTCACTTGTCATCTGATTTTCACTCACTTAATTTTGTATTAAGAATTATGTAACAAAAACTTTAATATCTTATTTCCAGATAATCCTATTTCTGTGCCTTCAGTTTTATATTCTAAAATATTCTTGTGTTCAACTAATAAATATTCACATTATTTGGCATATAATTATCTTTTATCGTTCTTCCATACTTACTACTCTACCATCAATCTCCATTACTGAGAATTTTTTCAGTGTTATGATATAGTTAAGCTAATTTTAATGAATAATACTAATATGTTAAGGGGTAATCAGCTGATAAGAAATCGTGAAACATGGTAAATTCATGTTATTCTGCTACGTTAATTGTTGTTGTATTAG